CGGGCACGGCCGGGGTTTCGGGCGGTGCAGGGGGAGCGGGGCGCTGTGCTGTGCTGTGTGAGGGGACCCGGCCTGGCGGCACCTCCCGCGGGAATCAGTAGCTGGGTTGGGAGCGGGGCCAGACGGCGCTGGGAGAAGTCGCGTTTGAAACACGCACAAAACTGGCGTGGCGGGGGTGGCGAGAGCGTCTGAGCTCCGAGCCCCCACAGCGGGGCTGCGGAGACATACCATTACTCCTACCATTACAATTATTTAATTACCCACGTATATCGGGCTGTTTGTAGCCGTAATGTAGCACAGCCCTTAAAACCCCGCGCTGTTCGCGTATTAAGGGCTTGTTTTTGAGGTTTCTGCGGGCGCTGAAATCCCGTGTTTTTCCCTTCCATTTTGTGCTGAGGGAGGTCCTGGGCATTCTGGGAGCTCGGAGAGGGCACGGGGCAGCGAGGGAAAATGGATAATGTGGAGGAAAGCCAAAGATTCTGCTGAGCAGTGTGCCATGCCAATGCCTTGGCATCATTCTTGCATGTATTTGCAGCGTAGTTTAGGGAAAAGTGCTCCGACGCCATGGATTTCCTTTCTTTTTGTTGCGTGAGACGCTGTGTGCTTTTTTGGTGTGATACAAAGTTAAAAAGTAGCAGGACAGTTCTACCATTCTAACAAGGTTGTTAAAATAAATAGAAACAGTTACTGACCATTTCTAAGAAAAGTCTTCTCCAAGTCGCTGTTTGTCTTGGGAACTGCAGTGAGAGAGGAGGGAGAGTTACATTGAGTTCATTTGCCATGGACCACAGACCCTGTTCTAGGCCCAGTGACCCAAGCGCTGTTTGAGAAAGGATAAAAGAAGGAGCAGAATCCCATCACTACAACAGACAGGTCCAGGCAAGGCTAGATTTTTAATTTTTTTTTGGAGCTGCTTACCTCCATCCTGCCCACATCCTCACCGAGGACGTGCCTTCAGAGCAAGTCTTCCATAGTCCTCTTTGCCCATCAAGTTCCTCTTGTTTGACAATAGCTGACTGTGCTGAAAGCAAGATGAGAGCTTGTTAAAACTGTAATCAAGTGAATATTAACATTTTTATTACTAGTGTTAAAATTATATCACGGGAATTAAGTAAGCTGTAACAAAAAAAATTAATTTATTTCGGTCTCTAGTGAAGCTAAGACATCCTATTTGTATGGATTGCTAGTCTCTAAGTGCGTGGTTGAAGCGCTTGGTGAGGCAAAAGGCTGGGTCTGTGCAGGGCAAAAATTGAATGTGCACTATTTTTATATATTTTTTTTTCACCTGCATTCACTCCTCAGCTCCTCTTAACTTTCTGGTGTTGATAAAAGGTACCACCTCCATAGGACTGTGAGTTTGGTACGATCACACTGGAAAGAGACTTCATTAATTTCAACCTCCCATGATAAAAGCAGAACCAGTCCTCTCCTTTTTGTCATTACAACTTAATCTTTGCCCGTGAGTCATGCTAAAAGCAATTTTTAAGAACAAGGTCTCAAAGGGGAAAAATGCATGTTCAACTCGGTTTGATCACAAGTTACTGCTGGGTAGGAAGATACTGGTTAGTTTGAAAGTTGAAGTGTCATTATAATTGTGCCATTTTGCACACAAAAAAGGGTAGGCAATACTAATTTTCCTCTTTACATTCTGTGGTGCTCATAGTGTTGTCACACACTCCTTCTATCCTGGTAACTGCTTAGTGAAATTTGCTAATTCAAATGAATTGGTCGAAAATTGGTCTAACTCCCTGTGTTATTTCAAAAAGAGTACTAATTTCTGTGACTAAGTGTTGTTTCTTCAATTACATTAAATATTTTGGTAGTTTGTTCTTTGACAATTTAATAAGCACTTATAATGGAAGCAAAATATTCCAATTTATCAACTTAAGGTATTATATTATGCTATTGTGGAAAAAAAAAAAAGGGAGGGAGGGGAATTGTTTGAGAAGAAACTTTCCACGGTGGCAAAATCATGCTGTCATTGCAGTGATGCTAAAAAACAAGGCTATTAACACAAAGTTGTTGTCAGAACTTTGGATTGCAGTGATGTTATCTTTAACTAACTTTAATGTTTTTTAGAGGTTGTCAGTGAGAAGGGGAGAAATGGCCAAATCCACCCAGTTAATTGACAATGAAGTCTTCCGGGCTTATGCTACTTACACAGCCATTGTTCTTCTAAAAATGATGCTAATGAGTCTGATAACAGCATACTACAGGATCACAAGGAAGGTAATCACTTGGAAATACTGGCTGGGAGAACAGACTGACATTTGTATTGAAAAACAGAGATATATCAAAGCTATGTCTTTTCAGCTTCCAAGTACTGCTGCTGTTCATTTTCTTCTTCCTCCCTGTTCTGGAGAGATTCTAAGTTTGGTAATCTGCTGGTCTCAATTGGACAATATTTTTTACCTAATTATGAGACTAAATTATGCTTGCATTTGACTTTAGTCTTCTAAAACATTTCTAATATTTTTAAATAAGAGTTTGTCATAACTGTAATTTCCATTGTCTTCTGCAGAAAGCTCATGTCCAGGGTACCCAATTTATAAAGCAACAAAAGTGTGATATGGAGCCATATTACATGAATAACCAACTGGTAGGGTCAGAAGAGAGGAAAAATTTTTATTCATCTATAGCCTTTTCATCCAATAATTGAAAAGCTTTTTGCATTCCCTGATTATTATAGCAGGTAGGTCACTATCTGAAAAGAAATTACTGTTTTTCTAGAGTGAGAGGCAGGCTGAAAACTGGATTTTCAGTTTTGAAAATATCTGAAAACATTTGAAAATATTTGAAAACCTGTGGTTTGATGTCTGGGCTAGATAAAAATGAGAAAGATCCACTGAGGTTTACTAAACATAGAAGCTGCATCTACTTTAGAGGAAAATGCTCATGGGAAATGTGTTGTGTTTGCCTTGTTCTTGGTCTTCTCTAGGCATCTTCTCATGGCCTCTGTAGGAAACTCTTGGTCCTGGGCTGAAAGAGCCCTGAGTGGGCCTCATTTGGCTGTTTTTGTGAGATCTGCTTCTGCAAGATGGTGTATGCTTCGAGGATTTTGGTGCAGTCCTTTTGCTGAAATTCTGCTTTTTGTCCCTGCTGGTTTCAGGAGAACCCAGCTGAACTGCTATGTGAATTGAAGTGGATGCAGATAGACAATTACTGAAGACAATAGAGCCTTCAGTAATTCATTTGTTAGTAATATTAAAAACAGAAAAAATAGTAATTTTAATTTTCTATTTAATATAAAAAATTATAAAGGAAAAAATTGAAAGGAAAAAACCAGGAAAGGAGTGAAGCAAGAGAATGTAAAGTGTTGCTGTTGATACTGTTAACCCACCTCTAGAATTCTGAAGGCTGATAGCTCACAAATAGCGATCAAGGCTGGCCTGGAAAGAAATCATGTAGCTTTCCTAAAATCAAAATATTTTCTTGACATCTGCATAGCCTGAACAGTCCACAGAATGCATGTTACTACATGTGTCAGCAGGGAGAAATCAACTGCAGTCTGCACTGCCGGCATTAAATGTTGTTTTCAAGTAGTGTCTTGCAGTACTTTGAGGTAATAATGGGTTATATAAGTGTAAGAATTTGTACCTGAGAGGAAAGGGTTAGGAATGACATCCTTGGTCATAAGTGAGAATGGGAATAAGGCTGTTGGATGCTATCGCTGTGTAGACTTCTGTAGAAGGAAGGGATCCAAAAACACTCACAGATAACTTGTGAGGAATGGTGAAAAAGAGACTTGAGACCTCCTACCTTGTAGGTGCCTATGCTCTGTCAGCCCACTGGCTTTTCTGCAGGCTTGTCCATATCACAAGAAGGCTTTATCTAAATGCATAAATTACATTGCATTAATTTGTCAGCACACAAGCTGTGTGCAGGCTGGGCTCAAGAAAGCAGTAGTGCAGTGAACGTTGCATTATTCCCTGTGTAAGTTGAGGCACTGGTAAAAGGAGTGACCAAACTGCCTCGACTGGATAAAACATTTTGGCTGCTAATGTCACTTGTGTGCTTGTGTTTGAAACAGGCATTTGTCAACCCAGAAGATACAGAATCATTTGGAAAAGGGGAGAGTGCTAAGAAATTCCTGAGGACTGATCCAGATGTTGAACGTGTACGCAGGTAATACACAGGAACCTTTAAAAGTAATTTTAAATAACAGAATAATATTAAATCAAGGAGTTAATTTCACCCTGTTCTCTGTCAAGCTTGTGTGTGTTTTATGGTGCTTTATGTAGCAATCTAATACATTAATTAATTTAAATGAACAAACCATTCCACATTCAAATAGTCAGTTTGGATTCTAAAAGCAATAAGCCATTGTCTGCTTATAATAGCTAACTCTTGGGTTGTGTCCTGTCTGCATGGGCAGAGTGGTGAGAACACTGTAAAGTACAACCATAAGTTCATGGCAACATTTTCTGTTTCCAAAATCATAAATTTCGGGATGCTGTTTGATACACCTGTGCTAACAAGGAAAGCTTTAATGGAATGCTTTCCATAAGATTATTACTTGATGAAGCTAAGTTTATTTTTATACCAAAAATTTGAATGTCAGTGAACTCTTCTCATTTAAACCTCCATTAGGGAAGATCTTGAAAATTATATACCAGTGCTGATTTAAGAACACTGCATCCTTGCAAATAATGGCTGTTGTTTCACAAAGTATATTTCTGTATGCCTCTTATGGATTAAAGTCTCAGAAAGAAGAGTCTGATCTAAGTGGGCTGTAAAGATGTTCTGCTCCTTCCTTTTCTGAGTAGTTCAAGGAGCTGTTGCTTAATTTCATGGGTGTTACATAAAAGTGGAAACTTTCATGGTGAAGGGTAATTCCTTTCTCTTAAATTGTAAGAGACCAGCTGAATTGAGATTAACTTTATGACTCATTTAACTCAAATTGTTGTGGTAAAGAAATGACAACCACCTCAGCCATTTTCACAGAACACATTTTTAAAGCACTGCATTATCAAATCCTGTTTTGCTGGTTTGTGGAGTTTTTCAGAGATCCCCAGACTTAGTAAGTCATCTTGGTTCTAGTTACTATGTTAGTGTTGCAGCATCCATATTTTCCACCCAGCTGTGGTTCTTAGTAGAAATTTTCTATATTTTCTTCTGCAAGCTTCATGGTAACAGATAATGCCACATAAATTTAGCATGGCTTCTCTTTTGTATAAGTGATTGGAATGTGTTCAGTTTATGGGGAAAAGTGATTTTTTTTTTCAAGAGAAAAGATTACTTTCTTCAGGGTACTTTTAGGGGGGATGAGAATAAAAAATCTGGAGGGATATATTTCCTTGTAATGATAAATATATTCTAAAAGCAGCTGCAAGACAGTGTCATGACCTGATTCCAGCTGGCTCTGAAATTTGACATCATTAGTAAGGCTTAGACATTGTTTCAATCAGTAAATAGTGCTGGAAGTGTGATTTATCTAAAGAGGTGAAGGGAACTGAGAAGGTTTAGGAAGGGGTGTGAAAGAACACTTCAAGAAATAGAGTTCAGACTCAACACATTTTTAGTAAATTATATTATGGTTTCAAAAATTCAAACACTTTTTCAGCTATTTTAGTGCTTAAAGTGAAGAAAATGAACGAAAAGCGTAACTGTCACACCTGTTCGATGTTCAAAAATAACCTTCTTGAAGATGATGGAACTTCATGAACATTTGATGGAGTGGTTCCTATGTAGGATATTTCATATTTCCTTTATGGACACCACAAACTGGATTTATGGGATTAGAATAGACCATCTGGGCCATGAACTGTAATAGTTTCAGTCACAGTCCTCCAGTTAATTGACATTAATGGAGAGACACTCCAAGAAAACAGCTACCTCTTTTCTTCCTTTGCATTCTTGCAAAGTCACCCCTTGCACTCA